ATGAGCCGCGAATTGTTGCTCCGCTTGCCGTGCACATTCCACAAGTTACAAATAACTTCACTATTGTTGTGTTATCCATTGCAAAGCAATAATTTAGTTTCCGAATGGTAATGCACACAATTTCGTTGTATTGTTGTTGTGTCGTTTGTTTCAACACATGTTGGAAACTGACAATAAGATAATTTTATATACACGCTCACTCCTTCAGAATTATATCGCAAGAGATTTGTCTGATTTGACATTTGACTTCACTTATGATATTTGCAAAAGTTGTAATGCCCGATCTCTCCAGTCCGGGCTTTGAATCTCCTGTTTCGAGAATTAATCGAATAAAATGCAAACATACAAATCTCTTGCAATATAACTATTAACGAATCTTACTCGCTGACTAGTGATTGAATCAATTCGCTAACGTTTCCGGCCATCTAATCAAGGAGACAAGCTTTTTCACACAATTTTATATACAAACGAGATCGGGTAAGCTGTTCAGGCATTACAGACCTACCCTATTCTGCCTGACAGGACGTCGCGTCTGACTGGATTACGATTTGTATGGGAACACCAAAACGAACGTACTGACTTTTTCTGGCCGTATGTATAGGCCAATCGATTATATACAGTGATATTCCTATGATTGCTTCTAACAGCGATCAAGTTATCAAAATATTTTTCGATGAAGCTCAACTTTCGACATGTGGTCCTTCTAAATTTTCGTAACATCGATAGATCAATTGCTCTTATCAGAAACATGATTAGCACTGTTGGGTTAGATACATTATGGAGCCTGGCACGGAGGTGGCAAATAGACATTTATTAAGCGAATTTGCTTCTTCCACTTTTAATTTATACATTTCCCAATTGTCGCGCCATTTGCGTGGGTTGTTCAATGGAGCGCGTTTTCTCCTTTGAGAGCAGGGGCGATATTGCTGTTTCCAACATAGAGGAGAAGAGGAGGAGTTTTAAACCAAAATGTTACTATATAAACTTTGGTGCAGAACAGATTTATGTAAAAAAGAAAAAATTATGCGATTTTTACGCTTTGCCTAGCGTAGTAGAAGGTCAAACTATTCAATTAAGACTTTCTGCAAGTGCTTTCGAATTTTGCTGATGCTTCGAACCTTTGCAGAATGTGGCACTTAATGTTCGAATCATTGTCTGAAAGGCATTCGAATGCTCAAGAAAGAGAAAAATGGTTGACTTTTCCAAACTAGGGAATGCACGGTTCTTCGGTTCATGTGAACATGGTCGATCTTTGAGTCGTCATCATAGGCAATCTTTATGTCAACAGTGTCGTTCTTTCGTCACGAGAAAAAGGAATGGGAAAATTGTGACAACGGATGTACAATGTAAATTACTGCTCTTGTCATGGCATTATGATTTTGTATCAAAACAAATGCTTTAAACGATCCTTGCTTGTTGCGGACATTTGTTCCACTTGGCTTTAAATCATGAGCTACTGATGGGAAAGTAGCAAATGATGAAACTAATGCACTTCCGATGTGGTGGGAATAGACCAAAGATGGCCAGTCAAAGGCAGTGGATCGGTAGAATGGACTCTCGCCAGATTTTGGCACTTTTAGGGAGTAGGCCCCCCCCCAGGTAAACCCGGGCAACAAACTACGATAATGACATCTTCAGGGATTCAGAGCCTTACCACAAGCAATCAAGGAATTATCAAAGCCATAGCTCCTCTTTCTGGTATTAAGGAGGGGGGGGGGGAGGCTTAGCGATTAAATTATCTGAGATTCTGTTACATTGCGTAAGAATCTCTGACTTCTTGAGGGCTTATGCTATATTGGTAGACAGGGGGCTCACAAGCTGACTGCTACTCGTACAAGATAATTTTCTTCAATGTTTACTGGTAGATCCCCGAACTTGTTTTTGGTGTCCTTTGAAGGAGTTTGTATCTTTCTCAACAGCAGAGGAATCACATGCTTTTGAAATAAAGCAGATCAATAGACAATCTAGCGAAAGCCCTAAAATGAATATATCAAGTGTATTAGAAAAATTAATACTAATGTCTGACATAGGACTTGACAAAGAGAAAGTTGAAAATGTAGAAAAATCAATAATTCACGTTCCGCATCGAACTCGTCATCGTAGGAAATGTTATCAACAATCTGTTAAGGTAGAAATAGTGTCAAAACAAAAAATCAATGATGACTCATTTATCACAAAACAATATTTACAATGTGGCTGTGAGTTCTGACATGCTAGTTTAGTACGATGTAGGTTTAAAGTTAGTCCTTGATTATGATACAAGTACAAAGGTGACTCAAAACCCTAAAGTTCAGAACATGTGGACTAAGCGGTGATGAACTATGTATGAAGATAGTATGATAACAAACCAATGCATTATATTAGGCTTCTCTTCAAAATCAGGACACTTATTCATCGAGAAAAATTATATTTGTGCAGCTTAAAAGTTTCACAAGCATTTTTGTCGATGACGAGGAATTTGTTTTGGTTGAATATAATTCAATATCGAAAGCATTTTTCTTCTCAAAAAGAAACATTCTTCGTATGGTGTAGGGTTCCTCATTGATAAATCCTAAAGAGGTCTGGAATTTCTTTTTCATACTAGCATCAAGGATAAAAATTTCCCTACCCCAAGTTATACCACGTGCTGATTTCGTCCTGAGTTTCAAATTGACATGATATTAGGTCGTTCCGAAAGTAATGTCGCTTTTTACAAATGCCACATCTCGTGGAACAAAGATGTGTAGGAGATTCTGGTAGCATTTGTGCAGCATTTCATGCTCTTTCTAATGGTTATGAAGTTGCTGCAATATAGTCAATGAGCTTCCAGAAAAGAGTCAAAATCTACGACCTATGCTTTTTGAGATGGCCAAGTTTCACAATTTTTCTAAATTTTTACGACACCCTTAGAAGGAATCCAAGTAATGGATGGATAGAGCAAACCCTACAGAAAACAGCACAACTTTTTTCTACTTTACAGAGCTTGTCATGATTTTTTGATGGAACCACCGAACTTCAGCTTTCTCGCCTCAAACACAAATGCATCAAACACCAATAAATCTTCGGAGTTTTGAAACTTACAAAGATGGATTATGGTTGACACTAATTTTACAAACCAAATGAACATTCACCGCCTCAGATTAGCAACTTTTGAATTTTCCATGTACACCCTTGGGCGCCCTGGAAGACAACCCGAATTATGATGATTTTATCCCGAAAAACTTGATGAATCGGAAACAAAAAACAACTCGCAGAAAGAGGAGAAAAAGCTGCTTCGAATGGCACCCGAATTGACTGCCAGTTGCTGTTCTGTGAGGTTTGAGTTGACCAAATATGGGATTTGATGGCAATGAAAAATTGATTTTAGACACTCTAAGAAGCAAGCTAAGGAAAAGAAAAAAATAACCCTGTGTCCTATAGTGTTTGTTCTATCTAACTGTCCCGGGAGACGGTCTTTTCGCACGGGCGGTCTCCAGAGTCTGGGTGTAGGACGATTCGCACGACCGTAATGCTTTCCACACAGGACCACCTCCGCGCGCGACACAACCTGCGGCGGCTTTTGCCTAAGCAAAACGGGAGGAGGAAAGATTTACGGCGTCATTACATGTTAAGACAGGTCAAAATCAGGTAGACTCTAGAGACCGCCCGTGCGAAAAGACCGTCTCCCCCAGAGTCTCCCTGAATTTGACCTGTCTTAACATGTAATGCACGCCGCAAATCTTTCCTCCCCCTGTTTTGCTTAGGCAAAAGCCGCCGCAGGGTGTGTCGCACGCGGCGGTGGTCCTGTGTGGAAAGCAGTACGGTCGTGCGAAACGTCCTACACCCAACTGTCCCTCGTACTTCTTCGGAGAATAAGTATAAAAATTTAGAAAAATTGCCGAACTTGACCATGGCAAAAAGCATGAGTCGCAGATTTTGGTATTTTTTCGAGAGCTTATTGAATATTAAGCAATGAAAGTAGAACCATAAAAAAGAGGATGAAGTGCTGCATCGAATCCTCCTAAGAACTCCTGAAAAACTTGATTCTATGAAATGTGGCGTTCATTTGATAAAAGCGACATTACTTTCGGAACGACCTATTATAAATACCACATTAGCAAAAGAAAAAATTTGAGGTATTGGAGGAACGGGGTGGGGCATTACGGTAAGCTACCGCAAGCTACAGTACCTCAGTGTGTAAACGGCACCTCTGCAAACCTTAAGTAATGTTCATTATGTGATCTATTCGTTCTTAACAGTGGGTTCTATAGCTTCTATAGTAGAAACCCAACCACAGATCACGGTAACATCATTCAAGGTGAGTTTATTTTTTTTATCTCCGCAATAGTAATAAAACCCATCATAAAAAGCTAAACTTGAGTTGGTACGCTACCTGAGTAGATTTGAGTCGTGAGGAGTTGATACATAAAAGTTCAAGCAAGAACGATATTGTTTTTGTGGCCGATAAGACAAAAAAAATTGCGACGATTTTTTTGTCGATGTTCGTTTTTTTGAGTTTTTTTATGTTTAGGGTTGGGATCAAAGGAGACTTCGTATTGAAATTTTCCTGGTGCGAGCTTGTGCCGAGCCCTGTCTGAGATGGTCACAGATTCTATAGAGTCATAAATGAAATGTAATTAATCTTTTTGGGGTTTCTACCATGTGTCAGAGCTCATTAGGGCGATGTCTTCTCACCAATGGTTGGGTTATTTTCATGTGACGCTATCGTGATAGAAGAACTGATAAAACTAACGGTTATAGATACATCTACCACTAATAGCTGAACATTTATCACATGCACTGACAATTATTTTTTCCAAGTATGACCTTCATCAGCCTGTCCGCACTCGCGCGCGTATTTCCGTAGCTACTCATCTCTAAATTTAGCGCTTCGATTCGACTCGCGGTTGCATTTCTCGGAAATTCTTGCGTGCCCAAGCCAGCTGTGATAAGGAGAACTGTGTAATGCGTAAGTGTGGTATGATCGCCCCCCGAACATTACGGTAATAGCCCCCCTTGTGTGGAAGAGAAGAAGAAGACGGTGAAGACTTGAGACGTCGGTGGTGGCTCGCGCTCTGACGCACCGCCCAGCTGTCAGTCTACCGCCTTCATGACGATGAGCGACGACGTCGAACGACGAAGTGTTGGCAGCAGAGGTGGTGCCGGACCAAATTTGGCTAAAGACAGGCAAGAAGATTTATTTTATTGATTATTTACATAAATCATCATTATTATCATACTTGTCATTCTTTTTCTCTTGATTTATTACCAATTTCTGTTAAAAATTTTGCTGATACACCCAAGAACCAAGTAATAGCCTGTGACCCCCTACGTTCTCAACCTTGAGACCAAACTCTGTCTGTTCCAGTTATTTCATAGTAAACACCAACTGATAAGAAGATTATGGTGTTTGTTAGGCTTGATTGTGGATTATTTGTTTATTTGTTTATTTATTTGTTCCCTCGATCTTCCCAGCGCAAAAACAAAAATGACAATCATAACAATATCAGCATAAGCAGCGTTCTGGCTGTGAAAATTTCTGATAAAGTAGTGCACAAAAAGCTAGACCAGTACTTTATGATAAGCCAGGCAAAACCGAATGGTATTTTTTGTAAAAATTAGAAATGAGATGGATGTAAAAAATCAAGCTTACAATTCGCATTGTTTTTTTTATGGTTTTGCTATAATTTTTTTCTCATTTTCCTCAAACAATAATTTTTGACATCAATATTTTGTTCCCAAAAAATGCCCTTTTGATACATGTGCTTGCATAACAATCTTATAATCCTATCATAACTTCACGTGATTTCAAAGAAGTATCTGGAAGTTTACCTTGGTAATGAAGGATACTGTAGGCAATCAATTTTTTGACCAGTAGTTTTTGTAGACACAATGTCAATTGAAAGATTGCCATCTTACCGTATCATATTACCATAAAACCATTCTCAACTCAATATTCTCATTTCTGAACTATACTTCATCTCATTTTATGCAAAAACCACTTTGGACCATTTTAGCTCGTATAAGTACCGTAATCATACCGTCTTGTCCCACTTTGCAACTCTAAATTCAATCCTCAACCCTGAGCCGTCACCACATTGTACCTGACCCATTAGACTGCAATCTTACCCCTTACCGTAAACATACCGTACCACACCACGAAAAAGCTGCGGCTCCATCCTCAAACCAAAACACCATTGCCTGACCGTATTCGAAATCATTTTAGTGTGCCGTATATTCTGCCTGAGTTACCGTAATTATACCATATCCTACAGCGCAAGTTCAATCCTCTACTCTAATTAAGCTAAATAAGAAATGACCAGACACCTCCACTTGACTGTAGTCATCACTTTGGACTCTCAGCTTACCACGTATGGATCACCGTAATCATACCGCATGACATTGAAGCAAAGCCCTAAGTTCAATCCTCAACCCTGAGCAGACATCGCGACCTCATTTTATGCAAAAACTGCATTTACCGTAACCCTCGGCGCGCCCTCACCGTCTGACTATGACCGCTGCCTGCTGCGTCGCATGTGAACGTTGCGTGCGTGCGTCTGGTTTGGCTGATTCATCCCGTCTTATACGTATCCGAAAAACAGTTTCCGCTCCTTTCGTCGATCACTTGGAGCTCTCACCATCACCAGATCACACGACCAAACCGCAATTGTTGGTTGATTTTCCCATAGTCAAAAGATCGCCGATATGGTTCAATGGTGAGTTTAGCGTTTTTTTTTTCGCGGCAATTTCACGGATAATTTCATGTGAATATAAAAATTTCATGGATTCATCTTCTCATATGACTGTCTGGGAGCCCTTGACAATTCAGAAATTCCTTGTAACTGTCAGTTGAAATGTGAAAACTCGTTTTGTAAGTCATAAAAGGTTTTGAACAATTTCGCCTCAAATTCATGGATACTGGGATGCGGTAGCTATTTTTTGCTGTGAACATTCTATGAGGCGATATCAGGAAATAGTCGCAATCAAATGGTACATAGTGAAGTTATCTACGTTCATAGTATTTTTCTTATCTCTAACTTATGCGTGTTTTGAGTATTATTTTTTGACTGTGAACTTTCGATAGTCGATATTGACAGAAATCATAATGAAATAGTGACTGTATGGTCCAAGTTTGCCCTTCTTATCTCCGTCCTCAAAGTTTAGCTCCGCTTTTTGTCTTATCTTGAGAAATTGCGCTCTAAAATCATTAAGGACACATGCACCAAGATGGGAAACAAGCACGGTTTACACTACTTATTTTGTACTCCAAAACTTTCTGGTAGAAATCACAATTTTGGAGCGACGAAAAAAATCGCACCTTTTTCCTATATATCTTGAGGAATTCCCTTGCTACCGTTTCCAAAAATTTCTTTCATCCGGTCTTTTCCAGCGAAAAATTTCTTAATATCCCATAATTTATCGAGCTGGTGATGCGAAGGCAGGAACGCATGAAGTAAAATGAGGCCAATGTCAGCCTTTCAATTTCTGACAAATTTCTTGTTTTTTCCTGAAAAAAAGTCGAGAAGGAAAAAATAGGATTATCAACTCTTCAAACATTTTTTTTTCAATTCTTAAACGCACCCCAAACCTAATAAATAGATAATTAGGTAACGCTTCCTCTCATTTGTGAGCGCTCTTTCAAACCTATAAAAAATTTTCTAATTGCTTTCGACAAACAAAATCCAGCCACCAACATTTCTGGAATGAAAATATGTTTCTGTCTCGCATTTCAACTTTTTTCTTAAGTCATAAATCTCAACCAAATCGTCATTATTTTCTACTCTAAATGGCGTTATTCGCGTTGCTGCCTGTACGGAGCGAGACCATCGATTCCTACACTAATGTAGAAAACTGGTTCTTCTGTGCGCAATCCGACACAAACGATGTCGATTTATTTGAACCAAAGGAGGATGTTTGGTTTTTCTTTCGAAAAAAAAACGAATTGATTTTTTTGCTGAGCAGACAAGCTTGACTGCACTTTTTTTGGTTGCAGCATTGTTCTTTTGTGATGAATTCATTTTTTTTGTTTGCAAAAAAAACGCAGATTTGTAATTAACAACTTTCTAAGAGGGGCTTCCACCAAAAGAAAAAACTGGCGAAATTTAGCGCCAAGATTTTTTCAATCTCTCAATTCCTACTATTTTTTGTAATTGACAAAAATAGAAAGTGTTGCTCCAGCCTCCGATAATTTATTCAGAACGTCATTACACGTGCATTTGTAGAACCAAAGATTAGACGTCTAGAATTTATTTATAGCAAACTATAAATTTTTTTATGCTTTCGTAAAAAAGACATCTATATTTTGATCGGACGTGCTCATACGCGCTGTTTTGTTTGCTTAGTTTATTGATAAAAACTGCAAGATAACATCTGGTGTGGAAAAGAAAGGGTTTGAAATTATTCAGGTGTGATAGGAATCCGTCTCTGCAAGTTTTATTCTTGAAGAAAATCTTGGAACCTAATTATTTGTAGAAAACGCAAAAAATCTGCTGAAGGCATGTCAAACTTGGAGAAATGTCTCATTTTCAATGTTATTTATGTACCACATCATCAGAACTTTGTTTGAAGTGCAACTTTTGGCTATAATTTCTTTAAAATTAACAAACCTTATTGAGGTTTAAGATTCGGGGAGGGGGGGGGGGGAGGGGAGAAAGTATTCGAAATACTAAATTTCCACAAGTCTACCTAGAGGGCTTCTAGCAGAAAAAGGAGAAAGAGGAATGGCAAGAAAAGGAAATTAGCAGCCCTAGCAACTATATGGGTGATTGAAAGTAAATCCTCAAAAACATTTTCAACTTACCTGCGGCTCTTCGTCTTTCCAGGAGACGTTCTACCTTGTGAGGAAAATTTAATTAGCTCGCGATTTATTCTAAAATATGCCTTTTTTAGTTTCATAAAACCAGACTTTGCAAAAAAAGAACTTTGTTTTGCAGCTATTCTCACTTGTCTTGCAAAAGGAAATGCAAGAAGCGAGCGAAAAACTTCAGAACTTTAGAAGTGCAATGGAACGGATTTGACAAGCAAAGCTACCGTAACTGCAACTCGTATCCGAAAAAGGTCATATGTCTCAAGTAACAAAACAAAGACAAAAGAACGGGTATTTTGCAGCGAAGAGCAATTTCCACGTCAGTTTTTCTTGTGTCTTTGCGAGAAGACGAAGACATGCAAGTAATGACTGAAAAGTCACTTGTTCCCAGAAATTTTTTTCTGCATCTCTCTCATTTGGTATAGATTGAAAATAGCAATTTTCTGGAGAAAAAAAGCAGAGTCAAATGACCAGCGGCAGTTTTGGGGCTTGGAGATACCATATTCCGTCTATGGAAAGGAGAGAAACGGAGCTAAGAGTTTTTTTGGTTGATAAAAATGATAATCAAACTACAATAACGAATACAAATTCAGAATTTATCAACGACTCACAGTACGACCTTTTATAAACGCATTTCTATTTTTACATTGGTGACTATCGAGGTTATCAATTTTGAAAGAAGAGCTTGCTTTTGACCTTGTAATTTTTTGGCAGAGTTAAATGCAGAATCAAAAAGAAAAATTCTTTAAGGAACTGCAGAACTAATTATTTTTAGCAGTGACCTAATAGGAAATCTAGAAAAAATGAAGGGCACCTCTGGAATCTAGAGAATGTTTGTGAGTTTCTATTAGAAAGAAACAACAATTATATATAAAACTATATCGATTTTTATTCAATAATCTACTATTGATAATATTCTTATTTTCTGATTCTACAACTTCATCTAGAAATACCATTTTTATCGTTCTTTACACATCATTTTTTGAATAAAAATATTTCACACCATTCGTCTAGTATCTAACAGTTTCAGGATCCAAGACAGCTCCACTGATGAGAGCGAATTATTACGAAGTGATCCCGAACAGGCTGGAGATGAGGAAAGTAGTGAGCACGACCAGAGCGAGGACACTTCCGATCTCTTCTGGGATGACGAGAAACCGCATCGAAAGGAAACTATGCAGGAATTTGTTGGGAGTCAGTTTTTTTTCTAAAATTTGAGAAAAACAACCCTAAAGAGAGAAAAGTTGGATGATTAGACATTCCAGAGATAAGAATTTTTTGCTAGAAAAACTCTGCAAATCAGCCAAATAGGCAAACTGGTTTATCTAAATCATGGATTAGGTTTAATCAAATTGGACATTTTCCACATTCTGAGTTTTTTTGGGTACAAAAAAGTCATAAACTATTGACAAAATTATTCGCAGTGTCATATGCATATTTCTACCATATTTTTTGGGAAAGAAATTCCACGAATACCATCGATTCTACTTTCTGTGGTTTTTGACGTGGAAAAAAGCCCAGTAAAGACACAAGAAATAATTATAAGCCATGACGCCATAAATTCCTTGGCTTCTTCTTCTGTATGTCATCTTTAATCCCGGCTGCTCCAAACGCCTACAAATCCGCTTATGTCCCTAATATCGAACAAAAAACATAGTAAAACTTCTTCTTCTTACTGAAAACTTCTAAAACATCAGCAAAATGATGTTTGACGATGTTTTTGATACGAATGCTTCTATTGAACGACGAGTTTTACAGTTGAAACGAGCATCTTCGCTTGAAGATGATGAGGGTGGTAAGTAGAAAAAAATTTGGCAATTGTTTATACTTGCATTTTTTTTCTTCGACGGTATTCGTAAAAACTCATATTTGCAGGGCAATATCGAAATGTTGTGCATTTCTTCGTCGAAGACTGGTTCCTCTCAGCTTTGCTTGGCATCATCACTGCAATATTATCCATAACCACTGACGTAGGCATCGAATACATCCTTCACTGTAAGTTTCTTTCAATTTTTTACATTTTGAAAAATTACTTAGCTTTTGATGTAGCGGATACCGCAAAAACAAAATATTTAGTTGACTAGTTTTGAAAAAAAGACCATTTCTATAAGCCTTCGATATTTTTGTAACTTGAATTTTTTATGAAAACAAATTTTTTCTCTACTAACATCTCCATTTCTAGAATTTGTACTCGTTCTTCTAATTTCAACAAAGCCAAAGGCCTTATAAACATCCGCTCAATATTATTTCAACCCAAAAATCCCTTTCTATATTTTTTACGAAAACATTCTTGTTGATTATGACGTCAACCCTCAATATCCTTCTGGTACTCAACTGATTTATTTTATCAAGCAATCAGTATGCCTTGTAGTAGCCATTTTATGATTTTTATCAACATTTAAAATCCGCTTTTCTATTTTTTCTATAAAATGGTCAACCGTAAATCACAGTGGGTACGAGCATTGTACAATAGCAACTAGTTATTTGTATTTGTCTTCTAACGTATTTTTACCGAGTAAATACCTCAAGGACAGACTTCGAGTGAGCGGTTCCTTTAATGCGCTTTGACATATCCTTTTCTTCCAAGAAAGCAATCAATCAACAATCCGTTCACGTCACTTTGCGCAAATTTTCAGAACGGAACATAGGCATTTAGTTGGGGAAACGTAATAGTAGCTGTAGAATTTTTTACTGTTATCTCAGCCCAAAATTTTTCAAGATAAATAAATTAAAAAGGGATACGTGGGTGGTTGTGACCAAGGCGTTTCTAACAAGGAGAGGATACTTAGTCGAAAGCACCAATCCAGATGAAACATATATCATCTTAAAGCGCTTGAAACGCTGATTTCAAATCTGCGGTTTCTAGCTGCGGAGCGGTTTGGAGAAGGAGGTATGAAGGGTGCTCCCCTTTGGGGTTTAGGCGCCCTCCAGCGGTCTCCCCTTATCTGTAAGCACTGTAGAGGAGTATCAGCTGATAGCAACTGACCTAATGGTAAATAACTTGAATGAAGATTACAGCAGAGATTATAATGCTCATATTACTTTAGTTTTTTAACACTTCTAACCTCGATTAGTGTCAGTATCATCAGAAGTTTCATGCTTTAGGGCTCTAAAGCCATTTAGAAGTTCAATTTAGCATGCAAAGGAGATTAAAACCTTGACACTCTCTTTATCAAGCACGTCACTTACCACTAGGTCACTTGCCACAGTTGATACTTCTCTACAGTGCTCATAGGTAGGGGGAGACCTGGTGGAGGGCTCCTCAACCCTAGAGGAAATACCCCTCATAACTCCCTCTACAAAACCGCTCCGCAGCTGGAAACTGCAGATTTGGAACCAGCGTTTCAAGCGCTTTAAGGCGATATATGTCCCATCTGGATTGGTGCTTTCGACTAAGTATCCTTTCCTTGTAAGATTTTTAAATTTTTCACATTTTTGTTGCCGGAAGAACCATATAATCGGCACTTTAAGCTTTCGAAAGTCACATTGTAAAATTTCGTTCAGAAGCTTGTCAACCAACAATTTTTGTAAAAACTTTGATCTATCGTTTGATCTTAAAATTCCTCCTTCAACATAAATATTAAGAATTTTATGACAGACAGGCCCTTCCATTTCACAACGACCGTGAAAGTCAAAATTTTTGATCTTGAAAAAAGTAAATATAGACTCGGTTCATTCTGCTGAAATATCATGCATTCGAGTTTTTTGGAGACAAAGTTTGAAGTAGAATTTATAGAAGGTTTACAGAAGATTTGTGTGCAACTATATGACAAGTTTCCAGTCTTTCTTCGAAGACAAATTACTTTCAAAGTTTACCGTTATCTCTGAACTTCAATACCATCAAAGTATACAATTTTTTCTTACCCTAAAATTTTCGCTAGTTCTCTGCAGTTTCATAGTAGTAAAAACTTCTCCAAAGTGAGACGATCAAACCAGACGACCCGGATTGAAAACGTTCTATTGATTTGTCAAAAATAGTATCAACCACATGTCATAATGAATTAATCGTCATTTGTGAAAACATCAAACGAAGCCAGTTCTTCTTCCGACGGAAGTTCACTGATAGGGGCGAGAGAAAGAGGCAGTGGGGTGGGGGTCTCAGATTGAATTAAGAAAGGCAAACATGATGAGAAATGTGAGTAAATTTTCTGCAAATTTTCTTGGAGGGAGGGGTGGGGCTATGGAAAAAAGAATAGACTCGGAAATTTATGCTTTGATTCGGTGTAGTTTTGAAAAAGTGCAAGAAGTTAGGGAATTTTACCTCGCCATAAAAGACAGGTTTTTTCCAAATTTTAAGCAGCAGAGTAAAAAAGATGAATTTTGGTAATTTGAGATATTTCTTGTGCCTTTCTAACAACTTCTTTTTTTTCACTCAAAAAATTTAATCAAGTTCCAGGTTCACCTTCTTATAAAAATTCCTTAATTATCTGACAACAAAGCGATTTGAAAACACTAGCATGGAGGAATAAAGAGGGCGGAAGTTTTTATTTCTAATCGACATTCTTAATGCATGTTTCATAGAATCAGGCCTTATTGGATTTTTAGAAAAAAAACTCATCACTACAATCATGATTAATTTTTTTATTATTTTTCAATGCTTTCAGTCCGCACACATCTATATCACTGGGCCAATGCACATCATGTCTATATGGGATTTGCCTCATGGATTTTGTTTGCTACAATCCTCGTCACCACTGCTTCTTTGGTCTGTCATGCACTGGGAAAACAAGCCGTCGGTAAGGTTTCCTTCTCTTGATCATCATTCTATTTTTGTTAGAAGAGGATGGAACATCAAAGATAGAGGATCATAGACCAAACCGATCAATAAAATTCCAGATGTTAGTTCCAAATTGAATTTGTGGCTAAAAATTCAAGTAAATCGCGGGGGATTTTTGCCTACTATCTAAATTTCTTTTTACTAATCTTGCTTGCAATCAGCATAAGCTCTGCAGGCCAGTGATAGATATTGAATTTTTCCGGAGGCCAAAACACTATCTATTATCTAGCGATCAATCATTTTGAAAACGATCAATAACCACATGCGAAACTTTGACTACAAAAAAGTGGGTTGGGGAACGAAAGCCGCCAGTTTGAGACGTCTTCCGCGGCCAGCTGGTCCTTTGGCAGTGTTGTTGCATGTCGTTCCAGGACCAGCAGTCCGCGGAGCCGGCCCAAATTGGCGGCTTTCGTTCCCCCACCCACAAAAAGTGCTTAGAAGATTGAAGAATTGCATCGTACCTACAAGCCTCAACTAGCTTCAAAACTATTTTAGAACTCAAATTATAACTCTGATGTATGGTGTGATTACACACCGTCTATGAAGTGTTATGTCACTGTAAATGTAAAACATCAACAATCATATTTGCCTGAAGGGAATAATAATTATCATTGCAAACATAAATTGTATGACGAATCTGACTGTAAAGAGACAGTAATAGCTTCTTTTTGAAGTTCAGAACTTTCAGTCAAACAAGAAATTATTTAGGCTGAAAAATAAAAATGTATGAGGGGCACTATGCGATAGGGTAAAGCAAACGCCACAAGACAAATGTGAATTTCACATAACGCGATTTACGCGAATTTTGCAAATAGTTGAACAATTCATCAAGGCAAAAGGCGGGTCCGGGTCTCAATCAAATCTTGTAAATCTCTCACTTCCTTTTTCATGTAGTAGACAAAACAATCCATATATGCGCTGCATTTTTATGGCCGGAAATCAAGAGAAAAGAAAAGAAAGATTGATGTCGACATACTCAGCCATTAGCCGCCCTGACTTCTTCCTAATTCAGCACTTAAGGCCTATAAACCTTCAGATTCAACATTAAAATTGCACCGTACATGCTAAAACGGCTATAGAATGTGTTGATTTCAGCTTTAAAAACCCGAAAAAGATCATTTTTCCAACCCTAATATCTATTTAAGAGAGTGAGTCATGAGAAATCAAGATGCCGGAAGTAAAATGCGGTAATCTTACGTATCGTAATTTGCGATTATGGTCAGATTATCCAAACGATAAGCACTAATAGTGTGCGAAAATAAAACTTCCTTTCCTGATAACATATGAAAAATATATGACGCTTCCCGAAATTGTTGTTTTAGAAGACACACATAATACGAGGAATCAGTGTGTTTGAGTAGTTATAAAAAGACCGGTTGCCTTTAGTGTAGAACAATTTGCTTGAACAGTTTCAACAATCAGTAATCCTTGAATTAAGCAGAAAATTAAAAGGTATGCAGTTGTTACAAAGCTCACTCAAAACTGAAAAAGGGAGAGAAGTGGAATTTCACTTTGTGGTTACAAAGCCCATTAGATCAATGAAAAATATTTTCAGGATCCGGTATACCAGAAGTAAAAGTGATCATGCACGGATTTGTGCTTAAGAACTACCTCACGCTCAAAACGCTTATTGCCAAAATTGTCGGCCTTACTCTAACACTCGGTGGTGGTATGCCAGTCGGTAAAGAGGTAAGATTGTTTGACCTGAAAAATCTTCCAAAACCCAACTCTTCTCCTGATTCAGGGTCCATTTGTACATATGGGAGCTATCGTAGCCTCACTTCTGAATAAAGCAACAGCAGCATGTCAATATAATGCTTTCTTTTCGAATGAAGGTCGTCATATGGAAATGCTTAGTAGCGGTTGTGCTGTTGGTATTGCTTGTACATTTTCTGCACCGGCTGGAGGTAAAAAACCAAGGAAGATTTTATCTAAATTTTCAGCAGAAATAACCAAAAAAACTGATTCTTAGCTGTGCTCTACGGTATCGAATCGACATCGAAATATTTTGCTGTGAAAAATTACTGGCGATCGTTTTTTGCCACCACCTGTGCAGCTTTAATCTTCCGTTTTGCCATAGCTGCAATCGTGCCTCAACATATAGGTAAGTCCTCATTGATCTACAGATTTCGCAAATCAATAACATTTTTTAGCTGGAACGATAACGGCCTATTACCAGACCAATTTTCCAAATGAAGTTTTTCTGATTGAGGAAATCCCGTTTTTCGCCTTGTTAGGGTAAGCTACTAATTACTCGTTCAGACCCTGCGTTCAGAGTTGCCGGGTGCCAGCGCCGTGCCTGCGCTGTACTGGCTTATCGATTAATATGGTCGGCACGGCGCTGGCACGGCGCTGGCATACGCAACTCTGGATCCAGCAAGAATGAAAAATTTGAGCCACCTATATTTCCAGAGTACTTTGCGGTTTAACTGGAGCCGCTTTTATATGGTTGCATCGCAGAATTTCTGTTTTCAAGAAAAGAAATCGAGCATACAGAGCTATTTTCGGCAACAGGTAAGAGCAAATAAAAAACATAGTGTCGTAACATAGCAAAGAATTTTGGAGAATCGAATCTAATGAGACTTGCGTACAAAACTAATTTTTTGTTTTATTTTCATTTGATGATCAATCATCCAGTTTACAGGGTTGGGGGAAAGTCCTTGAACAATTTTTGATGTCCTTGTATGTTCGGCTTTCCCATAAATTTTTGCATGCTAATTACATGTGTTTGCTTCTTATACTCTTGAGTATAAGCCATCAAAAAACTTTACTACTAGCTTTTTTCCTGTCGGAGATATGCCTTCTGGAATGGAGCGAGCATTGATGGAGAAGATGCACGAGGAGAAGATGGCTGATCAGCAAATTGCGAGGGCTCCCCAAATTTTACAGATCAGGGTCTTTTCCACCTTGCGTCGTTTCTAGGATATGAACAGCACCCAGGACTGTTGTATGAGTGGTAAATTGGCTACCGCGGACAGTAACGAAATTCCGAAAATTGTTCGCCAACGCCTTCGTCGCAATCCTCGGCGAAGCTTGATTGAGCCGGCTTCAGAGCTGTCCATTTCTGGGACGACAGTCTTTGACATCGTAAAAGAGCGCCTTGCGATGAAGCTTTTTGGCACGCTAAAATTTCATGCTTTTTGAGAGGACACGAAGCTGAACTGACTGCGAAGATGCCATCGACTGCTTGAACGTCTCTCCAAGGCACGCCACAGAACGGCACTCTTTTCTGACAATAAAATTTTTGCCGTAAAACGGGTTTTCAATCTCCAAAACACCAGGAATCGTATAATAATCGCTCTGAGGAGCCATCAGCAGGGGTTGACTCGCCAAAGGAGAGCCTCATCCGGCTTTTTTGATGGTTTGGGTGTCGATCACTTCCGGCGGTAAGATGCCACTGATCTTAGCGCCTCAGGGCATCAAGGTGGACGCTGCTAAGTAGTTGGATAGCATTCTGAAGAAGCGACTGATGCCCTAGCCAATATCCATTTTGCAGGGAAAGATTGGTGCTTCCAGCAGGTACTGCAACTGCGCACACAGCAAAGGTTGTTCAACCTTGTCTCCAAAGCAACTTTAAGGTCTTTGCTACTCTTGCGGAATGGCCTCCGTTTTCGCCCAATCTGAATCCCCTCGACTATAGGGTCTGGTCACTTCTTTAGGCCAAAGCCTGCGCTCACCCACGCAAGACACTGGAGTCTCTGCGACTTGCTCTTCAGAAGGCGTTAGAAGAAATCGACGTGAAGCACCTCCGTGCCACCATGGACAGCGTTCCCAAGCGTTTCCGAGCTTGTGCTCCGTCAGAGGAAGAATCTTTGAACTGTAAAGCCAGTTTGTATAGCAGACAGTTAAGTAGACAATTATTGATTTCATATAATCATCTTGCTTAGCTTCATCATTACGTTAAAAAAAACGTGTTCAAAGACTTTCCCCCAACCCTGTAGCTTACTTTTTCTTGGCGGTCCTGAAACAGTTAAATTTGTATTTTATAAAACTTATGCCGCACCATTCAATGTTGAGAAATCAATCTCTATTTATCATGATAAATATCATCATCTTTGATGGATGATTTGTTCCCTATGAAATAAGAATATCAATCATCCAGCGGTCTGAAGTGAATGTTTATGGCAGTGATTTGCATCGAATCTTTGAAACATAAATTACTAGAAACCACGATATATGAGCAAATCAAAAACATCGTAATCAAACTAAGTTGTAAAACAATATTGAAAGAGAACAACAATTTTGAAACAATAATCGAAAGTAAAATTTTTTGCTTTCTCCTGTCTGCACCAAAATTTTGTTTAGTCCCATTGCTTTCACATCGCTATTTGCCATGTGTGTTGCCATTCTCACATATCCGGAAGGTTTTGGTAGGTACATCGCAGGGCAGGTAAGCCCCCTTTTCCAATATTCTGCAGATTCTAATCCTCATATATTATTTAGTTTACATTCCGTGAGACATTAGCCGACTTCCTGGCCAACTGCTCGTTCACCTTGGCCAATGTCAGCTCACATGGATGCCCACCCGAAATGATCGCTCACTGGACGGGTGGAACCTCCGGGGAATTCCACCCGCTTCTAACTCTTTTCTGCTATTTCGCTGTTTACGTGAGTCTCATTTTAGTTTGGGTAAAACAAACTGAGCCTTATATTAACTTTTCAGTATGTTTTGGTAGCAGTTTGTGTGGGCCTATACTTACCAGCAGGTATATTCGTTCCTTGTTTCGTGATAGGCGCATGTGGAGGCAGAATGGTTGGAGAGGTCAGTCTTTCCTACAAAAAAATGAATGATAAACTTAAGCATTTTGTTTCCTATTCAGATCTTGGTTATGTGGTGGCCAGAAGGCATCCGAGGCCTTGAGGGTCCACAAATTTATCCGGGACTTTATGCCGTTGTTGGTAAGCACATTAAGACTTTCAAAATAAATGATTTTGGTTACTTTTTCATAGAGCTCACTTTCTTACGCTTTATCTCGTGTTGGAACAATAATAATAGCATTGAAACTTTTGAAAATGTGAAAAAATATTAGGTTGTCAAGAAAATAATGTCCGTTTTTATTTGCTTGCTTTAACAAAGCAACCAGACTCAACTCAACAAAGAGTAAGGGGTACTGTTCGATAGAGCAAAGCAAGCTCTACAAGATGGCACTCATGTATTTGCGCCATGCTCGATCCACGGAGAGTTCGAACTCAAAATCTAAAGATTTCCGAATGCCCAAAATCGAAAAAAAATCAGATCTTTGTCCAAATAATTTCTACGGACCTCCCACTCGCTCACATCAATACTATCGATATTTCATATCCATATGTGCGATTGCCGTATTTTTTCCTTGACTAGAAAATGAGAAAACGAAAATTTCCCTGATTTTCTCCAAGCAATGCTGAGCCGTTTTTGCATATGTAGTTCTACACTACAAGCCTAGGTAAGCATAACTGTAGATTTTCAGCCTATTTCGAGCGGTACTTTTCGAGAAATGTCGATTTAAGCACTGAAACTGAAACGAAAAAATCCGAATTCGTTATTTTTCGAAAACTACCGCTTGGAGTGGGCTGAAAATCTACAGTTATACTTACCTAGGCTTGTAGTATAGAACTACATATGCAAAATCGGCTCAGCATTGCTTTGAGAAAATCAGGGAAATTTTCGTTTTCTCATTTTCTAGTCAAGGAAAAAATACGGCAATCGCACATATGGATATGAGATATCGATAGTATTGATGTGAGCGAGTGGGAGGTCCGTAGAAATTATTTGGACGAAGATCTGATTTTTTTCGATTTTTTGGGCATTCGGAAATCTTTAGATTTTGAGTTCGAACTCTCCGTGGATCGAGCATGGCGCAAATACATGAGTGCAATCTTGTAGAGCTTGCTTTGCTCTATCGAACAGTACCCCTCACTCTATGTTGAGTTGAGTCTGGTTGCTTTGTTAAAGCAAGCAAATAAAAACGGACATTATTTTCTTGACAACCTAATAACACATCAATACATTTTGTAAACTCGGCATTCACTACCGTATGCTACCGTAACACTTGCAGCGTGTAAATCGTCTGTGTTTTGTAAAGGTGTAGCGAAGAAAAGTAAATTTTCATGTAGGCTTCGCTCTCCAGAAGCCGCATGATTACGGTAGCATACGGTAGCGCATAAGCTTGTTGCAAAAAGTCACGCACGGTCTAAATTTTACATTTATTTTTTGGTTTTTCTTTTGAGAAAAGTAATTTTTTTAGGAGCTGCGGCTTATACCGGTGCTGTTACCCATTCGCTTTCAATTGCCGTTATCGTATGTGAAACTACCGGTCAACTATGTGCCCTTCTACCAGTTTTGGTAAATATCATCTGGAAAATAATCAACAAGAATGCTAATTATTTCTTTTTCAGATTGCGCTCATGATAGGCAATGCTATCTGCAGTTTCTTGCAACCATCAATTTACGAAAGTATCATCAATATCCAGGGTTATCCATATCTTACGGATCTTCCACCTAGTCGTATTAGGTAAGATTTTGTCGATTTCTGGTGATAAAGAAAAACCATAGTTTTCAGTGTGCACACAATGAAAGTTGAGAAAGTCATGGTAAAAGATATAGTATTTATCACGAGAGATACAACTTATATGGAGCTGCGAGAGATACTTCTTGAAACACCAAATCTACGATCATATCCGTTCGTTACGGACAAAAGTATGATTTTTGAGTCCTCTGAGTCCTGTTTTGCGAGTTTCGAATAATTTTGAATTATTTGCAGCGTCGATGACCTTACTCGGAAGTGTCGCCAGAAAGTACCTTTGCTATTTACTTACAAAGCATCTGGGTGCTGAACCCGGCTTCCAGACGCACAAGCGCAAGAGCCGCACGGCTTCCGAACTTCTCAACACTATCGGACAATTCAGGTTGCTAAATAGAGCACATTGTGCCTTAGTAGCGTTATTGCATAGTGATCTACTATATTCTTAGAAGAGGTTCAAATATAAACTTCAATGGCACCGGAATGAACTCGCACAACTTCCTCACGGATCGCAACATTAGCGGAAATACACTGCTGGCACATTCACCTTTGCATGATAATCAGGGCGAACGAGGACCGCTTGCTTCACTTCTGTACAGTCAAGCGGACGGTCATGAAGTGCCTGTGGTAAGTTGTCGATACAGTGCTAAACACTTCAATTTTCATCTTAACTGATAGTACAGCTTCCAAATTGACTGTTAAGTAATGCCATCTTGATTGACGTTAGAGCACTCGATTAACTGTGCATTTGGCAGGATGAAATTAGATGAGAAAAGCCATTGCTGTGGGTAATTGAAGCCATCAGCCCTAACCGTGTTCGCGACTGTCCTGCAATGAACCCGCATCACTGGATTTACGCGTCCTCACCAGCTGCATGACTGGCGTGTAGCACTTGACGCGGTCACTTTAACAGCAAACAACATAAGAGGCGCGACTATATCAAAGTTTGTTCTAATTATGAGAAAAATAGAAAGGTAGCTCAAAAAGATGACACACGACGAGCCGTGTTGTCCCGTTGTCGATGCTCTGAAGGCTTTCTACTCTTTGATGTTGAGTTTCTTCACTAGGATTGCCGCAAGAAGCCCAGCCCGTGTAAGACGGTGCAGCCCCAGCTTCACAAATCCGAGGACTTTTTCGTGTTACTGAGCGTCAAACCTAAGCTCAGACGAGAACATCCTATGCGAAAGCTGCTAAGGACGAGGCCAAGCATGATAGTGTAATATCACATTGATAAGAAATTGGATAAAAAGGCGAAAGCCGCTATCAGCGCCGCCTTATATACACCCGCTGTTGGCCGCGTTCCCAGCCGGAGTGGTCCGGCAGCGAATACAGTGGAAGCGACCGATTACGCGGCGTACGGGGCTCCCGGCTGAGCAAGACCTCGAGATAATCTAGACACTCATCGAGATTAATTGTATCTCTAAGCCATTGTTATATTTGCAAAATGATAGCCAGAAGCTGAGTACAAGACTCGAAATAACTCGTGCTATATCTTTGGAGAAGCAGATCTTGATAATGTACCTTGAAGCTACTTTTTTATTTTCAGCATTCAATGGCAAAGAGAGCTGAAATTCTTGCATCAAAGATTGATCTGGACGATGTTGCCATAGATCCTGCTCCTTTCCAACTAGTCAAGGGAACATCCCTGTATAAGGTAAGGTTATAATGATGAGCAGGGGTGCAGAAAACTTTCTAAAAACTCAGCGGATGTAGGTTTCAACACCATTTTCGACAGTTGATTATTTCCTCCCAGGTGCATACACTGTTCTCGTTACTGGCACTGAATCACGCTTACGTCACGGAGAAGGGAAGACTTGTTGGTGTTGTAGCCCTGAAAGAAGTGAGATTTATCACATTAGTTGAAAAACTGCCGAAGAAACAAATGCACTATTTTAGTTGCGAGAAGCACTTTCGAACATTTACTCACGTGGAGCTGTACCTATTCGTCCACGTACTCGTACCATGTCAACATTCCGCGTGGGACAGGACAATCAGAATGGAGTTTCGCATCTGGATGTACCAGATGTGACAATCATACCTAGTAGCTCGAGGAACACTTCGGACTGAATCTTCTCACTTTCGCACAGTTTCTGCCGTTTGTGGATTTCCTAATCCTCCCAAAATCTGCTGTCCTTCGATATGTATTGCGACAGCGCATTACATTTTTTCACTGCTCATAAGCAGTGATTTGCATGCAAAAAAAGCCAGCCTTCTTTATCTCCATTATTTGTTGTGGGACTCAGTAAGTCCGAGTTTATTAGTTTCTGCCTGTTCTTGTCATGGTTTTGAAATTTGAACCTGTGATTGAGACGCTGCCAAATATGATTCCTTAGGTAAGCTCTGCAAAATGATGTACTTTACACCGCTACAGTATATAAAAGAACGCGCATAAAGTAGTGCGCGTATGCGTGGAATCCGTTGCTAGCTAGTGAAGCTGCTGAACATGTTTTCCTAAAAGTTTTTGGGTTACCTTGTATAACTGAGAGCAATTTTTCATCATAAAAGTCTACCGGTGTCAAGGTAATATACGGGTGTGCAAAAAGTTTACACTACTCGACTTGCTAGGTGTTGGTCGTGAAGGCTATTGAGCGAGTTTGTTTGATAGAGCTTTGCTCCCCTTTTTACATTTTAGCAAAATTTGGCAGCGCCTGGCTTAATATAATTACCTGTGACTAACGCTAAGAGGTTTGCTGTTAGCCACTTCAGTGTCATGCCTGTGTTGCCTTGCTCCTTTATCTTGCTACATTTTGATGTCTATCTTTTTGAATTTTTTGTGGTTTGTGATCTCATAGTACTTAATTCGCTTGTCTTGATCGTTACTTCGACATATGGGTGTACACAAAATCTAAATAAACTTGTATTCAGCGTGGAAGTTATTTATCACAGAATTGAGGACTTTTCCAGCGCTCAAAAAACGTACTGCATCTGAATCTAAAGGTTTTTGCAAAAGCTCTCTCCTTTTGACTCTTATTCTTTTGTTGACGTCTAAGCTGGTAAGTATTTATATTTGTCCAGCTTCCGATGGCGATGGTGCGGTAACGACAGCCGGAAGTATTGACAGCTTCAAAATTTACCCCCAGTTAATCAATTTTCAAGTCAAAACATGCTTTCCAAAACAGCGCAAGCATGCCGTCAAAAGTCTAGGGCATACCTCCCGATATTCCGTCGAATCGCTACATCCACGCAACTTGACAATTAGCCAGATTTCCCATGCGCTGCTCTTGAATGCATAAGCTCGTAGCTTTTGTAAGCTACCGCAAACGTTTCAAGTCTTGCCTAAGCTTAATGCGCTTGGAGGGAGGGGGGTACAAGAATAATCAAGCCAAAATCCTACATCACTCAAGAGCGGAAGTGCATTTTATTGAGCTCCCATATGAGCAATATGCTGTCGCCTTTAGCAGTACAGGCATCAAAAATTCTGTCTTCATGCTTGCAGTTAGCTGCGAAAATGAAACACCCAGGGGCTTATCATGTTATAAAATGAACAAAAGACAGATGGACATTAGGAACATCCAGAAACACCACGCGAGCGATCTCTAAGAGAGATCATTCCAAGTTGGGCAGACGCCTTCGTAAGACGGATGAAGCAGCTGAGAGAACAGCTAGACGCAAATCCTGCAGCTAGCTCCTATGAGCGACGCAACCACAGACCAAGAATTGTGATTGACGTAAGCGAGGAATGATCATATAGGCTGCTTCATGACGAAGGCGCAATATCTTTGGGCGCGATCGCGGCTTTATTAGCCGCAGAGCGCATGACGCACAGGATTTACAACGGTGAGAATACGCGCGCGCCGCGTTCGCGCACGCTCAGCTAAGACTGCTTCTGCGCCTTCTTCATGCAGTATCCTCTATTTTCTGCAGGTACATTCACTTTGGTAGTTTTTTACATGATGCATGGTTCAAAGTTGGTCCAAGACTCTGAGAATCACCCAAATTCAGATATATAGGAGCGGCGGATTGCTCCGAAAGCAACTTTCAACAGATCGCGCCTACTACTGCCATGGAATGCTGGGTGATTGCAGTCGTAGAAAAACTGTGAGAGAAAGTGGGCGTTTTGTGCGCATGAGCAGTATACTTTAGAAAATTTGGAAATTTTTTCGAATATTCGATCATCGAGTAGTATTCAAAAACTGAAGGTTTCGAATATTCGACTAACGAATAATATTTAAAAATCGAAAATTTCGAATATTCGATTTTCGAATAATATTAGTATACTGAATATCATTCGACTTTCAAACGTTTAATCGATTTTCGAATGTTGTCTAAATAATTTGGATGTACAGTTTATAGTGAAAAAAAAACGGTTTAAGTGACATTATGAACCTAAAGTCCTAATCCTACAACGGTGTTGTTGAAAACGGAAATTTGAAGGACGCAATTGTTTCAAATCGTGGCTTCATTAATAATGAAATCAAGCAACTTCTGCGGCACAGAATGACGGCTGCCTTGCATACTATTCAGATTAGCGCACGGGGTCATCCAAACATATACTCTTGAGTGTTGTGAAATGATATACAGGGGGACCCAAAACTACGTAGAACTTGTCAATTATTTCTGAGCCACAAAGTCTTTTGCCAAATTTTGAGTGACTTTAGTGTTCTTTAGTTCTTTAGTGCTGGCTATGCTAGATTTACTATAGAGCGACCTATCAATCGCTATTCAGTGTTCTAGGGTTACCATAGGACTAACTGAAGGAGTTTTGAGACGATGAAAACTCTTACCTTGGCTATCTGAAGTCACTAGCTTTGAGTATAAAGTTAGTATTCCACTATGTCCTTTTCGTAAGTCGTACCATAAATCGTAATAAATGTTTCCAATGTTTCTTAAAACGATTTATATTTCTGGAAAAGTTCTTTCAAACAGCATATATCGCAGTGGCTCTATATGCTGAAAGTTCCTACCGTAATCCCACAACAATAAAACGCTGTTCTTGCTATAGATGTAAGCTGAAGCTAGCTCTGCAATAACTCAGAGGTTGGCAAAAGCTTTAGTAAATGACTCAGACAACTGCATTGGAAAGTTTGCGGCCTTAAAGAGTGTTATATGGCGCGCCGCGGCCCATGTAAATTTTACGGGAGACGCCGCGGCCAAAGTTGAAATTGGGAAGAGATCATCGGGAGAGTCGCGGCCCAATCACCTCACTTGGCGGGCCGCGGGTCTTATCAAAGGCCTGACTTCTTACACACTGTAGGTTAACGCGTAACCCGCGTGAGGTACGCCGCAGTGACGAGGCTATCATAAGTGTTTGTGAGGCTGGGTAATCGCTTCTCGGGTTTGGTCCTGTCTAACAGTTAAGTTTTTATGCTTACGAAACAAACTTCAGCAGTCGAATGAGTGTTACCGACGACATTAAATAATTTCGACAGATGAGCTAACAAGTTGCTCAATTTGCACTCAAGTCATTGTCATGAAAGACATGCCAAAAGTTTTTTCACTCTTCCTAGGCCTCATAAGCATGCTAATCGGGTCAACTATCGGGCGTTACAGGATGCGCCGCGGTCACTTATCGGGTCCAACATCGTTTTATACCGGGCAGCTCGCGGCATGGATGATTGGTGGCCGAGCAAGCACCAGCAAACTTCCCGATGCAGTTGTCTAAGGAGATACTAGGGATAAAACAGAGTGTAGATACTTGGGATCCTGTATGTGCGATTGATATCGAATTTTCCATGATGCGATGATTATCGCATTTTCGAATACTCAATGTTATCGAATTTTTGATTATTCGATGTTCATCGAATATTCCGATAACATCGAATGATTGAAATGATGACCATCGAACATTCAGCTATCGAATAACATTCGAAAGTTGAAGATTTTGAATATTCGACTTTCGAATAATTCGATAACGAGAAGTCCCGAATATTCGACTACCGAATATTATTCAAAATCTCAAATTTTCGAATAATCGAGTTTTCGAATCATTCGCATTCAGATTTATTCGAGTAGTCGAATAATCACTCTTGGTTTAAAGTATAATGAACAGCATGCGCTTGGGTTCGCCTCCAAAGCCTCTAACAAGAGCGGCACTTGCCGCTAACGTCTCAGAAAAAACGTCTCAAAATTGATGTGGTAATTTCAGGTTTACATGCATACTTCAAAATTCCCAGCCTCATGGCAAACGCACGTGTACAGCTATCTGCTCAAGCAGGATCGTGATCAAAATGGCAAAATTTTTTGCACTATGTAATCAACACTAGTTGCCTTTTCTATCTCATTTTTTTCCAGATAACGATTTATCCTGAAAAGTCAAGCTTATCTATGAACAGACGGAGCATCTTTAATGTACGCTTAAAGGCACCGTCCACCTTAAGTTGAGCGTGTTCAGCTTTTGGCAGCATTAGTAGGGCCCCCTATCAATCCAATGCCCAAGTCGCTGCGCAAAATGCCGCTTCGGAAGCGAGAAAATCGCTTCGGAATAGCGAAGATGAACGAGGACTCGCATCCATGCCCGCCCTCCCCCATACATGCCCGCCCATTTGTGTGCGCCCATCCAATCACCGTTCCGGAAAACCAGCCTGTGGATTCTTCGGAAGGGGATTGTCGGGGTTTTTGCGCATTCTCGACTTCATATTCGGAATCAGGGACAGAGAAGGCCCCGAAACGATATTAACGTTGAAGTCGAAAATCTGGGTGGACGGTGCAAGGTTTTTAAGGTTCAAATCCAAAAAAAACCCTAATCATAAGGGATCTCATCAAAGGATATATCACACTGTCACTCGTATGATTTGTATCCCTGATGATCGGCGCTTGATCGCCTGACACGAGCGGGATCCAGTGACGCTTTCATTCGTCCCTCTCGCGGGCGATTGTTGACCAGTGTCTTCTTATCGCACCAAAAAGAGGAACGCTCTGAAGGACTTCATTAAAGGAGTTTTGTGACATGTCGACCGTCGAGTCAGCAATCTTTTTGATGCCCAGCGGTGTCCAACCCGTTACAGCTCTTGTTCACCGATTGTCGTCAAAACGCATCAAGTGTCGTCCCATCTAATTTTATCCTGTTTGGAATATAAGGCAGCATTTCTAATCTTTGATCTTTGACGAATGGTGAATCTTCGTATTCTTCCCCTCATTTGCGCGAGAAGAAACACTTCTAATCTCACTTTCTTAACAGCGCTTCGATGATGCTCACTGCATGTTCGTCCTGCTTCCTCATAGTCCACGTTTCCGAAGTGTACAGTCGTGTTGAAAAGATGGGGAGCCGGGTGTTTGGTCTTCTTCACATCCTCTGTTGTCTTGTATGCTCACTATGCTGCACTTTTCGTCTTGCTCAGTTCCGGGGCTAGATCGTTCATTATGTTGACTTCCAACCTAAATAGACGTAGCTAAAGCATTCGTTGTTAGTAGTTCCATTCAGCGTGAAGGG